CATGTTGCCGTGGATGTCGTGCAGTCATATCCGCCACGTTCCTGATATACAGCAGCGCATTCTTCCTCTGCTCTGGTTGTGTTGACGAATCAACTTGGTGGTGGTCTCGTAAGCAACTCCATATGAAATTCCTCGGGTAGCCGTTATTCCGGAATGTCTCGTAGAGTCATTGTTCTTCTTTCTTCGCCTGTGTTGTGTTGCAATGTGTCCCTATCCGCTTGAATAGGGTTTGAACACAGCTCGGCTTGAGGCAGTTCAAATGGTTGCTGTGGTGATGCAGAATCTGGGCTGTATGCGTTTCTTTCCTGTATACTTCAGTTTGTAATTTGCAGTTCGTTGTCGTTGTGACGAGCACATCTAAGAACGTCAACTGGTTGTTCTCCTTCGTTTCCATTGTGAAGTGGATGTCGGGAACAACGTTGTTCAGGAGCTTCTCCGCTCGTGACAGTTCCATTTTTCTTTACAATAGCAAATGTGTCGTCCGCATATCGTACCAATATTTTCGGTTTGATATCTGGCAGTACAATTTGCTCCAGTTTTTGCATTGTAATTTCCGCGACGAGTCGAGGAACTCGTGATCCCATCGGCGCTTCTTTGATTTGTTCATATTGAGCTCACAGCGGGTTGTCAAGCACAGATCTAGTAGTCTACATGTTTCTTCCTTTCCGAGCGTTCCGTTGAAATTTCCGCCGTTGTGCAGGAGTCGTCCGCACTGCATTTAAATCAACCGATGTAAACAGTGAGGTTATATCAAAGGACACTGTTATTTCGTCTTCTTCAACTCTCACCTTCTTAAGTTCCCCCAGAAATTGACCTGCGTGGTGAGATATTTCCTCCGCTCTCCTAATTCTCTTGAAGTGTTGTATCTGAGCGTTCCTGGTAATAAGACAACTGGGCGTAATGGAACCGTTTCTATGTGAAACTTTAGAAGTCCGTAGAATTGGGCATCTTCTGAGTCGCGGGCCTTCATTCTCCAGTATTCTTCCCCTGTAATTCTGTAAGGATTCTTGAGTTTCTTGAGGGTTTTATTCATCTTGTCCGTAAGCGGTTTGGTTGTTCTACAGACGGCGGTGTGTGGTTGTGTTATTGAGTAGAGCGTTGGCTTTTTTGATGTATTCCGCTTCCTCCAGAGTGGCTGTCATTCACCCTTTTTCGGCTGGTTTCGTCCGTTTAAAGGCTGCCTATTGCTCTTTTTTCTTTAGTAGATAGAGCATTGTGTGTTTTGTTTCGCGTGATAGCTGGGACAATGGTTTGCCATATCGCTTGCTGGGTTTCCTTGCTAGGTTACCTTAAGTCGGGTAAAAACACTACGCTGGGGTTAGCAAAGCTTCTCATGTAATTGTCAACTCTAAGTGCTTTCCGTTAATCATATGGTCTAATATTGCCATTGTATGTAGATTTTGATACTAAGAATTCAAGCAGATAGGCGCTTCAAATATGCAGCAGCCACTCTACTAGACATTGGAACTTCGGTTCTAGTACATCTGAGTTTGGGGAAAATCCAAAATAACCAAAGAGGAGCACAGGATACTTTCTCTTGTTTTTCTTATTTTCTTCTGACCTCTTTAAATTTGGAATAATACAAGCCGTAATACACCCAGTTTTGTTACGCCCTTCCTTACTTGCTTTCTTGGCTATGCTTCAACGTTTTTCCCGTTGAATAAACAGGTTTGTGCACTGGCTTCTTTCTGATGGGTGTTAGTTTCCCCCAACAGGGTGGCTGGATGATTATTTTCCACCCCAATTCAAGTATGCGATGATAAGGCAGTCTCCTAGGCCTCCTCCCACAAACAGTTGGGTTTATGAAGGTTTGTAGAACGCCATACGGTTGACCTTCGGATAGATGATAGGCTGATGACTTTGTTTATTGGCGCCCTGTTTCTTTCTTATTCGACACCATTTGTTTCTGATATACCATTCTCTAGCTCCCGAATAAAACTGCATTTTAACTTTGGCTCCAAAAAATGACCTTTCTGTTTATCCTCTGTTGGTTTTCGTATAAAATTTCTCGTATGGCGTGCCAAAGACCTACCCTGACTACAGTTGTTCAAATGACTAGGACTTGGTTCTTTCTCCATTTTTTAAGTTGTACTTCTTGCGTTGGGAATACTTCAAGACTGAGAAATCCCTATTTTTTCGAGAGCAACCTTCTTACTTTTATACATCCTCTCCTATACTACTGTGTGCATTCACTATTTTTTCCTTTCATCTTTTAGTTTGCCAGGCCTACTTGAGAAAGACCCTTGTTTATCTCAGTCAAGCCCTAATCTCACTTTTCGGGAGAGTCACATTTCCATTTTCGTGCTTAAGTGCAATCTCTCGTATACCTTTCTGTTCATCTTTTTACGAGTTTGCGCACTTACAGTTAATGAGTTGTCTGACTCGTTTCAGGCACATTTCTCATAAGCTAGTTCCACAGTCGAAACAGATCTCTGCCAAACAGTTGAACGGTCCCTAATTTCCTGTATAAAACTCATTTGTCCCATTTCTAGTTTGTAGCATTATCAAGCCTAGGGCAGCCAGCATCGATTTCAGACGGTCCTTCCGACTTAAGCGGCTGTTTAAAGGTTTACTATTTCGCAATTTATAACGTTAACCACTTTCTTGATGTGAATGCGCCAAGATTCTGTCACTTAAGTGGTACTTGGATAAGTTTACCTACAAATCAATCCAGGTGTAAATGGTCAGTCGAACCAGTTGATAGTGGAAACTCGACTACCCTTGTAGACATTACTCTTCGAGTAGCATTCCTTCTGCATTCCTGGAGCAACTATTCTGATTGGGGTCCAAGCTTAGCGCTCCTTAGAACCGTAGAATAAGGATATGCATTTGCCGAAACTGAGAACCAGTGTGTGGATCACAAGATAATCGCCTGAAGACAGAATTATGGTTATCCAATACAGGGCAGTGCATGTACAAGTTCCGCCTCTCTAACAGTTGTCGTCGCTGAAATAAATATTTACACTCGAACTAAGTGCTTTTCAGTGGAGTCGTGTTATCTGCCCACATTTGACCTCCCGATTACCGGTGAACGTTCTACCGACTGAATTATCTAACATGCTGGTTACCCTTCATGTAATATGCACTCAAGCGTCAAAGATAGCTCGCCAGTGCTGCCTACTCTCAACGCAATAAGTGAGCCTCTCGCGTGACTGTGACAAGGGTTCGAACACGCTCCACCTATTTTTGAAACTGGATTGCAGAGAACACAAGAAAATGTTTACGAGATAGAAGCCAATATCTCTGGTGTTTGGTAATATTCAATCAGACAGTTATACTTTGAACGGTTTCTCAGAATGGGAATCTCAGGGATTTAACCAACGAAACTCTATCATAGGTGAATATATTGGGGAAACGCCAAAAAATAATCGGAAGCGAATGGCAGGAAACTGACGACTGGTTTAAAGACAACGGGGAAACCGAATTAAATCTGTTCAAATCTCTTCGCTGCCGCAGATTATGTGTGCTGTTTTCGCACACAAGAAATTATATTTAAACAAGACTCACAGTGGGAATGCCTTCAAGTTCAGTGACAGAGAATTCTTCAAAATATCATCTATCTCATTTGGAGGTAACTTGTTTGTCACACAGCCCACATTCTGCTTATTACCTGCAAATATGGATTACCTCTTATAATACAGAACCTTTCACATAGGGCAGCGCCTTGGCCGAGTTGTACTACAGATCCTTACTGAGGGAAAATTATAGTTGTACGACCAACGTAAGCTAGCAAGCCATGTGCCGTAATAAACCCTACCTTTCATTATACGCGAGGAGTAATCTGAAGACTACATACTACTCGCACGTCTCATCAGTAGTATCCGCCGTCACGCCCACATATTCACACAATTCATCTGCTCCACGTTAACTTATTTGACTGTAACTGTTGGAGAATGTGATTTAGTTCTGCTCATCCTGGTAAAATGCATACTTTGCATAGATTGGTGAGGCATGTTTCCAGAGGAATTACCTGGATTGTGGATGGGAAGTGATCCGTAAGATCGGTGGATTATATATGCATTTGGGCGCACCGGTAGTACAACGTCGGGCGCTTCTAATTGCTTGAATTCGTAAATCGGATCACATGATTATCTATTTATTTTGGCATTAGACTAACCTGGTACATTTGGCTTGAAAACTGGCGTGTGTACTTGTGGCGTAACTGGTTGGATGAGAGCGTAGGTGGAGAGTACTAACGTACTTCCATCCTATTATCATTACAAACGTTATTAACTGGTTGGATGAGGGCGTAGGTGGAGAGTACTAACGTAATTCCATCCTATTATCATTACAAACGTTATTGGAGAAGTTTGTACGGTTTACGACGACATCGTGAGTTACCGATGATCAGGCAGGTCATCAGAAACGGAAAACCGGTTCGATGCATTAATGAAAGGACTTGAATCAGTGCAATGTGAGGAGAGGAGATCATGGATTCACCCTTTCACTCAGTAGTTAACAGACACAAAATGGGTTTCTTGGGGCTTGGTAATTTTTTGCGAACGTAATTGAAAGAACTAATGTCACGAGACCACTGTTTTGTACCTTGCACCTGATGTAGCGTGTTGGTCATGGTAACCCGACTGCTTCTGTCAAGAATGTATGAAGAACGTCACACAGTGATTTTCCGGGATGGCGCTTGCCAACACAAATGTAAACCGAGGTTAGTGGACAAAGCAAGATTACAATAGGATTGAGTAGTGCTCGAACAGTTGACCCTCTCATGTTCCAACCGCTGAACTTCTGCGATACGAGAATCTCAAAGCCCCTTAACTAAACTGAATTTTTTCACTCTGTTCATTTCAATGTATTCATTCCACGAATGCACACACACTGATATATGCTTGTTCCATCTTTTTTAAATCAGCCACTATTGTGAATAAAGATGTCTGCAATTCATTTTTCTCTCACGGTCTTCGTGATTCGCCTGTAGCAAGCCGGATATTCCGTCTGACATTTTGCTGACGAGTTTAAAATCCACTGTAAATGCGCTTATTCAGTCAGTAACAATCCAAGGCGCGCTTCAGTTTTAAAACAGCGTAAAGTGCCTTTGTAGTACCGTCAGGATCGGAAACCTTCGCGGGCTAAAATGAACAATGAGGGTCATTTAAGTTCAGAAACAAAGGTGAAGATGCTTTTCTTGTCCTTTACAAAATCACCAATTACGAGACACTGACTTGCGTTCCTAAAAAACCCCACAATCCGGTTTTTTATCCCTCCTCAAGTGGCTGATTTTTGGCATCACACGCCATCCATGCAAAACCGCACAACGGAAAATCCACAATCACCGCTGCAGTATCAGAGATGTCGAACTGATTTTACTGTGTATACGTGTTTCTCTGCTGTGTTGAAAAATCCAGCTCACCATTGGGTGAACTCATCTATCCGGAGGGTAGCTCATACTCTATATCAGGCTTGGCTCATTAAGTGGCCGAATAGGAAAAAAATGGAATAATCTTCTAACCCAGTTTATATGTGACATCAAAAGTTCGGTACACCGAAGCCTGTGACTTCAGGACCCCCGTTTATACGAAATGGGTGGATTATTCACTCGGCATCGTATAGGCTTCGGCGCAAAAGCTTGATTAAGGCAAATACGTAGGCTACTACTTTGTCCGACTTTTATGGAAGAAATACAGTCAGGATGTGGGGTCTATTTCTATTAGTGTTAGTTATAAAGGTTTATTCAGTGAGTGCGGTTTTCAAATACTTATAGACGAGACGAGCAGTGCCTGGTCAGTTATTGTATAGAGGCCACTGCAGTTGATGACTCTTTACTGGTAGCCACACACAGCTTGACTGGTTTAAAACAGTCTTTTAATTACTCATCAATTTTTTCGCATCTATTCTATTTATAGTGGAATGGTTGTTGGATCCCGGCGCCTTGGCCACCGGTCGCTGTATCGTCAATCGTGGTTCCTTAAAAAGTTAAACTTTTCCAAATCGTCTTTGTATTCCATCTGTAATGACCTTAGCGTATTTTTTTTATTCTTCTAGTGACACCCAATATATATCCGCCTTTCTTGGTTACCTGTTTAGCTTTCTCTTGCGTTCATCTATTCTTCTGAGGCGTCCCCTGGCCGTCTGTACCATACAGGCTCTTGTGCGTTCATTGCATTCTATACACGCACTCCCTGGCTCTATTAATCGAAAAGCGCTTCCCAAATTGCACCAGTCTGTGGAATATGTCTTCCACATAGTCTGCTAGTTACACCCGCAGCCAGTGTGACAAATGGCGATCTCAGGAAAACTTTTTGACCCACTAATTTTGGTAGAAATTTTTCGATCAGAGCTGGCCAGTCTGCTTCTATACAATTCTATCACTTTTCGTTCTCTATGTACCCAAAAGAAATTAGAGACAGAGGTCTGACCCAGACTGGATTTCTTTCATTTCGGAGAACAAGAGTTTTGTTAGGCTTCACTAGAAAAAAGTTTGACCATCTCGTAGTATTTTCTGATAAAGCCAAATCTAAGTAGGTGCAACAAAAGAAAAAAGGAACTGATTTTCACCCTTCTGGATGGGTTCCACTAGTCTTTAATCAAAATACTGAGAAATCTTTTAGTTAACCTATATAGATAATGAGGGAAAAGTGGTTACAGGATTCTTACCTGTTGAATTCAGTTTGATAGCTTGTGTTTTTTTTAAAATATAAATATTTCACGACAATGTGCACAACAACGGTCGGATGTTTTATGAGGAACACTAACTCCATTCACTGTTATCCCTCGTTGATATATCCATGATCAAGAGTTAAATCTAAAATGAAGATGGGCAGAGTAAAATGTCAGATACACTGTTACTGTTGTCAGTGTAGGGTAACAAGAACCTCATCTTGCAAAAACGATGAAGAGCCTTTATCGAAATATCTTGGAACTTTGCCTCAAGTCAAGTCTACTTAAAAGAGTCATCTGTGGAAAAAAATTCATAGGTACCCAATCTCTATGCAGCGATATCACATTAATGATTACTGACCCATTTTACATTACGCACGTTTAGGAGTACCGGATGGGCAATCCACATAGGAACAAAAAGCAACAACTACTTGACTTTCAAACTGTTTGTTGAGAGAGTAAATTCTTTGTGAATTACGTATGACGCGACCATTTTCTCTGGCTTGCCATCTTCATTGTATCAGCACCATACTATTGTTTACTGTGTCGGCAGAGCTCCCGGGATACTGCTACAATTTTTAGAGTATTTTTTGTTGGAGGACCTGTTGTAGAATACTGAGACCGAAGTTGGGCGGGAACAGAAGGAAGACACACAAAACTTATGAGTGGTAACTTTTACAACCCATTCATCTGCAACGAATTTCACTGTTGGCCCATGACAACCCATCCGCCTTCATTATTAGATAAAAGTAGGTCACCAGTAAGCGCTATCAATAAAAAGTCGACAAAATGGGTATAGTTGTGTTTCCCCTCACTGAAACACCACGAAATGTAGGCAGGTGTCTAAAATCCCAGTTGTCGGGGACTTCAAGTCAGCGACTCCATTCTGTCCCCTGAAATGCGAAGCATCCTAGGGCGATCCTTCTATCTATGTGACATGAACTTTTGGATAATGTGAACATATCATTTCCCCTTGTTCCAGAGAGTTCATTTTAGAATGTAAGTGGAAAGTTTGTTCTTCTCACCTGGTTGCCTCTGAAATGTGTGTTCTGTGTAAGTTTTGGAATTTCTGGACGAATGTGCATATTCGTGGGCTTTTCACTTGATCGCCAAACAATGTCTCCTCGTTAATCGACTTGAAGGTAGAACTAAGTTGGGTGCACGTGCGATGACCTTAGGTGCACAGAGTATCACGTACGAGTGTCATACTGATGAACCGAACCGTTTTACGTTGTATGAGAACGGTTATTGGACAGAATGAGATTTTAGCACTTTTTCAGTTATCGGTACTAACACCCGCTATTTTGAAAAAAAACTGATATTTTCCTGAGCTTAGCACACATTTCGCGAATTCGATGCGTGGATTTTTGGAAGAATTGCAATAACGTAGAGATGTGATCATCCAGGATTACTGGGTCACACGGCTGTTGCATAGCGTTCTTCGGCAGTTGTGACATTGAGAACATCTCTACGGCTTCGAATGAGTGTTGTGTAGATGAGCAACCTGTTTTCTTCTCGGTGTCCTCTCCAAACATCTGCGCAATCGGTGAACCGAACGTGAAGCGCGGGAAGAGACTCTGAAGCAAAATATGTGGTTGCTTACTACACTACCTGTGCGGCCTAATGTACGGAATTATCGGATTTGAATTATCTCATTTCTGGTACGAGAGAATGGTGAGAAATAAACTCATCAATTTCCGTGAATAATCCGAGTTTGTCTTTAGTACCGCCACTTCCAATCGGAACAAATTCTTCTATAAGGTGCTGATCAATACTGTTTAGTGTAGAAGTCATTGTTCCTGAGTTTATCCATGTATACCTATTCCTGCGTTTGATATCTTACAGAAGCCTAGCGCAGGACGTGTATAAACTCTGATGAGTTGCTATTTTTGACGTCAACATTTCATAAGCCCAAAAAATGAGCCCAGCAGTCACTAGCTTAGTGATACAAAACTAATCCTAACGGAAACGGAAAAGGAATCTTTGGAATTTGATGTCTGGTATTCACTCATAGAAAGGGCCTCTTCACCGACAAGAGAAATGTCCCCTAACCTCTTGAGTGGAGGGGAGTTTCGATCACAATATGGTTGATTTAATAGAGAAAAAACGTAAGAATGGAAATACCGACTTCGGCGATGTGGATATGTCAGTTAACGGTTGGGCAAGCAGTTGACGGGGTAAGCGCTACCAATGAAGAGGTTACGCTTGACAGGTTTTGATTAGGTTGGTCGGTAGTTTGGAAACAAAAATTGTAACTAGCGAATATACACTCATTTTCAAACCAATTTGGTTCTTTCGAGAGACTCACCTGGAACCCAGCTGAACCTCTCGTTTATGATGTTCTCAGGCAACTTAATGTGCTGCACCAGGCCGCCTCATGTTTCAGTCTAGAGTTTGTAGACTTCTTAATAGTTCTTATTGGAATACCAGTATTTTGTGTCTTTTTCTTTGAGTTTAGCTAGATGAAACAAAACCTTTGCTTTTGTTACAACAGACGATCAAGTTTGACAACTATACTAACGATTTGCCAGTGTGTCTTGTTGTCAGAGCAGCAGGAACAACACACTATCAACAATTTCGGGCGTTCCACGCTCAGAACAGCTCGTTGATGGGGGACTTCGCCTGCCGAAAAGCCTCCACGCGACAACAGCTGCGTTTTCTCCACGTGTACTTGTGAAGTCACATTCTACCACGTAGCACAACCTATCGATATCCGATCAATCACTCACAGGTCTGGCTGAGGACAAAGTAAATCCAGAACCACAGAAACAGAGACTCAAAGAAGAAATCAATAAAACAGCAAACTACTAAAAATAGGAGGTGCACTACAACCCAGCAGAGAAGCTGGCCACGACGCAATACAGGTCAAGAATGGGCCAACCCAAAGAGACAACAATGGACGACAATTTCAACAGTAGTGTTGCCGTAGGAAGCAAGAAATACAAACCACAACTCGACACACATTAAGATCGGACCAACCAGAATCCAGGCTACAGCGCAAAGGCTGCTTTTTATAGACAAGCCGGAAATACCTAGTACAAAAAAGTGGACATTTCATTGGCTCAAACCTTGGGATTATATAGAACATTTTAAAAAGCTGACCGTAGGAAATTTTGATAAAATTCATTGCGACACTTCCTTATTAGCGTAACATATACTTAAAAAATGTTCGCTGTCCTTCTAACGCAATCTCATCTGCTTTGCAATTCTTGTTTCCGAACTCCATATACATGAGTTCACTGCTTAGCCGTTTGAGAGTATATTGAGAGATCGTGTATATCACTTAGTTGACCCGTTCCAATGGCATGGCATTAAGATTGCAAACTCCTCATCAACATTGGAGTAAGCATTTCATGGCTCTGTTTAACTGTAAGCTACAGAACTTTTACCCGCCTCACGAAAAAGTCCGACTGCTCCAATAGTTATCTATTAATAAACTGACCGTGACAAAATGGAAGCACCCCTAGCCATT